ACTTCCGTTAGACCTCTGGCCACAATGTCCTTCTCCCGCTCCCCATCGCTCCGTCACCCCCCCCCCCCCGGTCACCCCTGGCGCAAACCCAGGCCCTCGATCACCACTGGACTGGGGGACACAGGCCGCCCGCGGGGTGCATCCCAGTTCACCCCCATCCTAGCCAGAGTCTCGAGGGCTGCTGCTACAGTGGGGGGGGGGGGGGGGAGAGGGTGTCCCCCAGGGAAGCGCTAATGACCACACCCGCGAGGCGCCCATCGGGGTAGTTAATTCACAGTTACGAGCCTTCCCAGAGGGAGAGGATACGCGTCCCCTCACGTTTCCAGGGTGTCCTGGCACCACCCCGCTTGCAAAGCGGGTGTGGACAGAGGGACGCAAGGCTTTTGTGGACGCATTCGTGGAAGCCCGCTGGGCCTGTGCCCGGTTCCGGGTTGGCCTGTGTCACCGTCAGCAAGTGTGGCTGCCGGGCCTCTGGCCAGAGGTCATGGTTACGGGTCAAAACGTGTCCTGCCCAATTCACACACTGAAGTCCTAACCCTCGGTGGGAGAGGGGACCTTATTTGGAAATGGGGTCTTTGGGGTTCTTACAGAGGCAATTGGTGAAAATGAGGGCTTACGGGGGGGGGGGCCCTCCGATGCGCCTGGCGTCCTGACCAAAGGGGGATCTGGACACAGACACACACCACGGGAACATGAAGGCGGGAGGGGGTGAGGCCAAAGAGGCCAGCAGAGCAGCAGGTGCTGGGGAGAGGCCTCCTGCCCTGCTCGCCCCCGACACGGCTGCTCCAGCACTTGCGGCCTCCAGGCGGGGAGGTGGGAAGTTTCCGCGGTCCGAGCCCGGGTCCGGGACGACGAAGGCAGCCTAGCAGAGCGAGGCCCCTGACGGCAGTCGGTCGGCCACGTCCCGGGCACCGAGGAGCCGTGAAGCCGCCACCTCCAGGAGGCACGGGTGAGCCCGGTTCCTGTTCCCCAGGGGCCTGGCCTCAGTCGGCAGCCGGGCGGCCTCCTGGCTCGAGGGGGCCCCGCGGGGGCAGAGGTGAGGGCGCAGGCCGGGTGCGAGGGACAGCCGGTGGCAGCTCTTTATTACAAAAGACACCGGCTGAAAAATCACCCCGTCAAGACTCTCACACGGCTTCTTCCTTCCTGAGCTCTGGGCAGAGATCGCGTTACGGGCTGTGGGGTGGTGGCCTCTGGGGTGGCGTGTGTTAGACAACGACGTCTCTGTTTTCCTGGGAGACCACAGGGCTGTTATTCTCTGTTTCACAGAGCAATATACTTTCCCCTAATTGTCTTGCGAACACAGCACTCCCCTCAGCCTACATTTGCCTCTCTCACTTTTGCGTAGAGTCACGAGCAGGGAGAAATATTCCTCTATTATACGGAAAGTTGTGGCACAAATGGCAACTCTGGGTCAGGGAGACAATCTGGGTGTCCTGCCTGGAGGCGGCAATAGCAAACCCACCGTTTCCAACCAGGGCCAGGTTGGGTTGTCAGCCCCATTTCACCAAAGTGTCCGAATTTTCAAAAGGGGATACAAATCCAGATTTTTAAAAGCGAAATGGCCGAAGCGTCTAGGGTCGGCTTCGTCTGCGTCCCGTAACGTGTTTTATCTCCTGTCTGTAACGGAGGACGATCTGAAATGTGTTTCGAGGTCACCTCCCTGCCCCCACCAGATGTAACATCCCGGAGAGCAAGCATGTGATGTTTCCTGTCCCACCTGTCACATTTACTGTTCCATCGCCCAAGCCTGCGGTAGTTTCTAGCACACAGTGGGTGCCCAGTAAATGCCAGTGAGTAAGTAACTGGCCCACTGATGCTGTTGCATGAATGCAAGAATTTCACGCGACTTCTTTTTCTGTGGAATGGCCTTGGGGCTGCATTTGACTCTTAGGGGAAAGGAAAAGTCAACCTTTTTCATTCGGCCCAGAGCCACGGTGGGCGTCCCTCAGGAAGCTGACATCTGAATGCACACGTGAGATCCAAAAAAAAGGACAGAGCAATTTTCCCCGCTGTAGCCCAGAGGGAGCCGGGATATACGCTCGCCTGCCACGGCTCTCACTTACCACCATCCGTCAGCAGGCTTTTAGCAGGGAATTGCACGTGTGATTTATCTGAAAATCCTTTCGGGTCCTGAAGGAGAGATACTTAGCACACAGTGCACTTTGTCACCATGTGTCAACATTGTCTCGGTGCACAGACCACATTACACCGTGTAAGAGTGTAATTGGATTGTGCTGGGCCCCTTCAATCTGCATTTTCATTTACCAGAAGCCGCAGCGTTTGGAGAGCCGTCCGCCTTGACGCCAGCCCCGCGGAGGGGGTCAGAGTGTGGAAAGACAAAGGACAGCCATAAAGCCGCTGAATGCAAACTTTATATTTACAGTCAGTAAGTTTATAAACATATATTACATCCTCACGACCTACGATACATTCTGCAGGGAGGCGGATCTGGGAGCGGGCAGCGGCTGCTGTATTAAACGACATCACGCGGGTAAAAATGGAAAGAAATACAAGGAGGCTGCAGAGAGCAAAGCCCCGTCATTGAGCGAAAGGGTGACAGTTTAATTGTCCAACCAGACGAGGTGAGTAGACTTGGGGACAGGAGCAGGTGGCTTATGGCTGCTGGAATCCCAGTCTTAGAGCAAATGGGGAGCACCTCAGTTGGGGGGGGTGCTAAGGTGGGAAGGGTGAGCTGGCAGAAACGACACCCATGATCTTAGGAGAATTCAGTTATATGCACTGGAGAAGGGGTGGG